TTAATAAGATAAAGCATCTTATTATATATCTTTATATAATATATAATAAATATTTCTAATTTTATATTGGATGATGCAAAATTTGAATTTAAATCTGATTGAGAGTTTATGAAACTATTTAGATTATAAAGTTTAAAAAAGTTTTTACCTAAAATAAGTAAGAATTAATTAATGTTATAAAAGAATACCCAAAACTTATTAAAATTATCTATTACAAAAATATCTATAATTTGTATTAGAAAATAATTAATAATTTCAGTAATTTTTTTCAAAAATTTATATATACATAATAATTTATTGATTCATTTTTTGTTTTTTTTATTTTCTTTTTTCATTTAATTTGATTTATAAAGTGTTTATATTATCCAATATATTACAACATTTTTATTGGATAAAAAAAAAAAATACAAATTTTAATTTTTATTATAAATTAGATGTTTGATATATGTAAATCAAAATTAATGCAGCAAAAATACACATATTACAATCTCAAAACTTTAGATACTCGAAAGATTTGTAAAGTAATGGTTGGTGTGATTTCAAGATCATGTATGTAAAGGACAATGGAATGGAAACCTCACGAAACGAATATGTAAAAACTTTCCTTCCCTTTGAAATAAACAGAGAATCAAATGGAATGTAATAATAATTTGCAAGACATATAAATAAACTTTTTGGATCAAATTCTCAATATCAACACAACTATGATGTTTTAAGGTATTAATGCAGAATTATTCTGAATTATTAAGAAATGGAAAATTTTCATTAAAAATCTTTCGATTGTAAATTCTGAAAACTTCAAATAGAATCACGTCTTAAAATCGATTTTTTTAAAAATATACAGTATATTTAGTATATTTAGTTTTTTTTATATATATTGAGAAAGGCTTTAACAGCTGCCATTGCAACTGACCTTCCCTGTTGACAGTATATTAAGAACTATTATTAATTGATTTAAATGAAGCCCCTTCTCGTGAGTATTTGCTTCTGATCATCATCCTTTATTACCAGATTTTTTTCTGGTTATTTATATGGCTGAGCCTTTTTCACATGAATGACATCTGATCATCTGATGAAATTGATATCTTAATTTTTATTGGATGTTTGAATTAGCCCCAACAGATACAAAAAAAAAAGTATTTAAAGCAAGCTTTGAAGTTGATTCTCCCATTCAAGTGAAACTGCGAGTAAAAGTTTAGAATTTATAGTACATTTTACATTTTTAATACTACAGGATGACTGTGGTAATTCTAGGGCTAATAACGTGCTAATACTGACCTCTAGAAGGGGTGGGTGTATGCATTTATTAGATAAAAAACCAAACATCGGTTAACCGATTTTCTTGGTGATTCATGATAAATAAACGAACGACTTTTATCTAAAATTCCTGCCCTATCAAACTTTCGATGGTAAGATTGAGTCCTACCATGATGGTAACGGGTAACGAGGTATTAGGGTACGACACCGGAGAGGGAACCTGAGAAACGGCTTTAACATCCAACCAAGGAAGGCAGCATAATTGGGATGGATTTCAACCCTTTGATTAAAATCTCTTTCAAAAATAATTGAACATTAAAGAAAAAAAAAAAATAATAATAATAATAATTAAAAAAAAAAAATAAAATAAAAAAAAAGTTTTTCACAATGGATGGATCTCTTGACTCTCGCAGTACGCAGAGAAAATGCGAGAAGTGATGTGAATTGCGTCATTGAATCATCGAATTTTTTGAACGCAACTTGGACCTCTGGTAATCCGGAGGATATATCTTTTTTGAATGTTGTCATTTTGTAACCGTAAGATATCAAAGTTGAGATATCTCTGTCAAAGTGTTAAAAAATTAGAAATGCTTTCTCATTGATGACCAAAAAAAAATACGCAAGTAAGTTCCTACTTATCTATTCATGTTTTCATGTTTTTTATGTTATATCTACATACTTATCAAATTTACCTCAAATCAGGTAAAAAATCTTAAGCATATCAATAAAGGGAAGAAAAGAAAAAAAACAATAATTCTCTCAGTAACGACGAGCGAAGGAGGAAAAACCAAATTAAAATCTGTTGGGTTCTAACTTAACAGAGTTGTATTTCGAAGAAACATTTTCTGTGTCTTGGATTAGCCTAAATCCTTTGGGATAAGGTATCTTGGAGGGTGAGAATCCCGTTCATGGTTAATCTTAGGGACGCTTTACGATACGTCTTCCAAGAGTCGAGTTGTTTGGGATTACAACTCAAAATGGGAGGTAAATTTCTCCTAAAGCTAAATATTGGCGCGAACAAGTACCGTGAGGGAAGATGAAAATTATGCTGATGCAAAAGTCAGTAATCGTTGGATTGTTCAACTCACTAAAAGGGAACGAAGACCGGGTTTAGACCGTCGTACTATACCCTACTGATGGTGTGTTATACAATAGTAATTCAACCTAGTACGAGCGGAACTGGAGATTCGGATAATTGGTGCTGCACCTACCTGATAGGGTCATGGTGTGAAGCTCATCCGCCGGATTTTGACTGAACGCCTCAAGCCAGAAGGCCACGATAGAGCGTGACTACAATTATTTTACCCAAGATTAAGTTGAATAAAAATAAAGCCTTTGAGCTTCAGGATTATATATTATTGTGTTTTAATGTTGAGACGGAAAAAGTTATCATTTTTCCCTGTAATTTCTAAATGTTCATTTTATTACCATCTGCCAATTTAACCCTTCGTCTTAGATTTTATTTTTATTTTCTTATTATAATTGGCATATCAAAATTAGAGGTGGTGGATACGATGAACAAATATTTATGTATGGTATCAGATGGTGTCAAATCAAATCACCGTTTAATATTTAATAAAGAAATAAAGATCAATCAGACCAAATATTTTTTTTGTTTTTGACTTGTTCATTGATTTTTTCGTAAAAAAAAAAAACACTTCCTATTCGTATGTTTAATATGGACCCTATAGAATCTACTACAACTACAACGCCTGGGTTAACTATCATTCGTCTAAAACGCAAGCGAAATGAAGAGCCATTAGACGCGCTTGGTATTTAAATAACACTTACTTCTTACCAAGTAGTTTTTCAATTATTCACTTTCATTATTATAGACAAAACCATCACTTTTTAGTTGTCCAACAACTTTTTGAGAGTGGAAAAAAGAAGGCTAAACGTAATGACAAAGAAGCGAAAATTGAAGCTAAAATCGAAGAGAATCTGAAAGTTGAAAACGTTGAAAACGTGAAAGGTATTAATCACGTTAATTATGTTGCGTTTAACCGTACTATTACGTGTATTTAAAATTTTTTTGAGTAGAAGAACCAAGAGAGTCTATACAATTCATATTTCGATTCGCAAAGACGGTTGAAGAGATTAGCTTTAATGATTCAACTAAAACGCAACAATTGAAAGTATGATAATTTTGGAAAATTAAAAAAAGAAAAATTTTTTGTACAATCATGTTCATTTAGGAATAATAAATTCAATACCTAGGATCATATAGTGAAACTAATAAGTCGTAAAGATATCTTAAAACGTAAAGGAATTGAAACTAAGCAAATTCGGGAAGAACAAATCGCACGCTTCAATGAAAGTGGTCGAAAAGAAAGATATAAAGTTATTGATAGAAATAGACAAAAGAGCAGCAGTTCATTGATTACTTCGGGGTAAGGCAACTTTTATTTTTATAATATTTCTAATTTGATATTTTTATTGATTAATCTCATTCATCGGTTTTAATAGTGACGACGTCGAAGATGAAGACGAGGTTGCCACAAACTTATTTAAGATGTACGACGCGGTTAAGGAAAACGTGTCACTTATTGAACCAAAGTTAGTAATTTTTTTTTTTAATTTTTGGAATAATAACAAATAAATAAAAATGTTTTTTTTTGATTCTTCAGATTTGTTGAGAAAGATGACATAGATTCTGAAATTATGTGCAATTTTATTCCTATGGTGCGACAATATCTTTCACGTAACGTATCTTAATTACATTACTTATGTATATTATTGAAAAATTTTACATTAATTAATGATAGATTTATCATTTCTTTTTAGTTCAAGAACAAATCGATAAAGAAGATTCCGATGATGCTTACGTTTATGATGTGTACTATCGGGATGATGCCATGGATTTAGATGATCGGATGAATTTCAATAAAATCGCTACATTGTACGCTTGGTTTATTAAAGAATGAATTTTTCACTCTATTATGATTTTATTTATATTGAACTTTTTTTTCCCGTAGGACATGGTTTAATGATGATGGGAATGAATTATTCGTTAACGAATCGAATGAAAAGGATGAGATTGTTTATTCCGATGAAGAGGACTCTAACGGTTTGTATGATATTGAATTATTCATAATTTATATAATTTGGATGAAAAAAATGAATAAGGTACATTTTTTTTTTTTTTTTTTTTTTTTTGCAGCCGAAGATTATTATACTCATGATTATCCTGATGAAGATGAAGAAGCTTGGAGCGTACAAGGTAAGTTTCCATAAAATTATTATTTGGCAGTAAAGAATTTCACATGCATTTAGTAATCTTTTTCGTTTAAATTTTAGAAGATAACTCTGATGATGACGAAGATCGTTATTATTGAATTCATTGAATAGCTAAACCAAATATAATCTATCCTTGAAAATAATATACTTTTTGCAAAGAATTTTTCTTTTATAAAGGTACTTGATATGTATACATTTTCTAAATGTTGACGAATTTATGATTGAAAATGATGGATGTCATACTAGTTCTATGTTGCATAGAATTAAAACTTAAATTATTTGCAATTCATACTCCAAAGTGATGAATGATGTAAAGATTGAAGATATTAACACAAACTATTAACACATAACAATACAATAATAATAGTAATAATCTATAATTGCCAGCCGAAAAATAAATCTCACTTCTATTCAGATTCAATAAACTACTAGTGCATTATTACAGTATAGTAAATAGTAAACTTTCTGAGAATGTTCAATTTTTGATTACTTGCATCTTTTTTAAATTAACTACTTGCATAACCTCTACCTAAATCTTTTTCTCGTTTAAGATCTCCTTCAATGGCGCTTCTAGACATGGGAGATTCTACTTCTACATCATTTTCATCCTTTTCTTTTGCCTTCCTTTCCAAGTCTTCGATTTCTTGATCATGAACTCGTTTAAGATGCGCAATAGCCAAGGTTTCAATTACTGTTAATGCAAAGTAAGCCAACATTATATTAAAAATAACATTCCAGGCGATAGATATATAACTTGGGCTACCCTAAAAAAAAAAAAAAATCAATAAATCTACGTAAATAGAAAAATTAAATATCAACCTAAAGAACCTACCGGACTAATTTCAGGAGCAACTTCACCCTCTTCACGCCTTAGTATTTTAGTTTGCTTCTGAACAACACTTTCGAGTTTGTCATGTATAGTTGGTAAGTAAATTTGTGTAAGGTCTAAGATAGTGTTTATCATATCTTGAGAAAATAATAAAATTACAAAAATAGTCTGAAATAGATTTTTATTCACCAAAATAAAGGAAGATGAGACATTATGAAAGAAACAATTTAAAATGTTCTTTTACAAGGAATGATAATAATATATACCTGAATAGAAGATTTTACGACGGCTTTTCCTAAGAATGTAGCCCCAAAAAATGTTGAAAATGGGACCAAAAACTGTCCACAAATTATGCCAGCAAGATCGAATAAAGGATTTGGAATCTAAATTTTCACGAAATAATAATCATGAATGACAATTCAAAGAACATTAAGATATCCATCATTCATTCTCTTATAATAATACTCACTGAAGCGAAGAGAAATATTCCAAAAAATCCTAATCTTTGCATAATCCGATGAACCCATATAAGCACCTTTTCCTTATGTGATATACTATCAGGATTTTGAGCAATTAAAGTGTCAAGCTGCTCTAATTCTTCGCTACGACTGCCTGACAAAGCAGCTAAAAATATCATACATGTAAATGAATTACTACAAACGTCATCAACTTTATAAAAATGGTAAATATGAAATCTCCTCGAACCTGCTCTTGCTACGAAGTATGGTGGCAATTCACCCAGTGCGGTACCAAATCCCCAAAGAAAAGATTCCCATTGCACTTTTTGAAATATGCTCCATAATGATACTGCAAAAGAGGTTGATACGGAAGGCATGCATCGAAATCTTTAAATTAACATATTCCTCAATATTAATCAAGCAAAAAACAAAAGTTTTCAAAAGGAAAGATCACACTTCAAGATATTTACCTATGAGGACCAAACGTTTCAAAATCCAGGTTCCCACACTTATAAGCTGCCCAAGTTACTTCTGCAATGTGAGGGCCTAAAAACAATACAAATGTATGTAGACCGGTACCAAGACCTATTGAAGAAGCGATTCCCAAACCAATCCAGTAACAATACCAAAAGATATAAGATTGAATTTGATATATCACCTAAAAGTAACAGCAAAGTCCCAGATCGGTCAATTAAATTCACTTAATAATAATCAACAAATGTGATTAAGAAATAATTACAATTTGATGTTCTCCATCTATCAATAATGCAAATTGAATCAAGATTCCTAATAAAGGTATGGACGTTATAACCCATTTTCTTAATTGTGCATATTCCACAGCTGATTTGACTTGCTGAATCAAATACGCCAAGAAGTAAGTAATTACAAGAACAGGCGAAGTATATAATGAAATGGTAGAGCGCTGCCTTTCTAATAAATTACGCCGTCTCTTTACAAAATCTAACATTCAGATCTATCAGTTATCATTGCACGAACGTTAACGATTAATCAAATTTAGTAAAACAAACCATCAAAGCCTTCTTTCTTCACGTTAGTCCTTCTCAATATACTCGGAGAAACAAGTCGATCATCGTCAGTAGAACCACCTTCACTCGCCGAATCATCAATATAAAGTCCTCCAATGCTCCTTGATCGCCTTTGCCTTGATTTATTAATTCTTTTCCATTCTTTCTTTTTTTCCACATGGTTACCTGTCGGTCCCGGCGACTCTGAAATTTCAATGGCCGGAACTTTTCTATTCACAAAATAAAGGTATGTTAATATCTAATAATCTCGATGTTGCTTTATAACAAGCCAATGTATTTGCAAAAAAAAAAAAGTTAATAAATAACTTACAACTCAGAATTATTTATCGTTTTGTTTTCCATTAGAGTCTTTATAGTCTATTATTTAACGAATAACGCATTAAGTAAAAGAAGAACAGTGATTTGTCTTTTAAAATACACGAAAAACTTAAGATAATTTTTTACTTTATTAACTTACACCTGATTAGAATATTTAAATATTAGACGAAGAAATTTAAAAAAAATTTCTTTGACACCAAAATCTAATATATATCTATATGGACCGCAGCTGTTGATAACATCCGTCCTATCAAAAGATCTTATAGGTTACGCGAAAAATTGTATTCCAAAGTATTGCGGCCACGTGTCAAATTTCATTAGTTTAAGGATTACCATTTCACGTGGCTGTACAGCCTTCTTTTGTCATTAAACGGTTATTATGGAATCTTCAATAAGATTAGATATTTACTGCGCCTAATAGGAGCGTCTCAATCGTTTAAAGATAGTCGTGCAATTTATATTGCAAAAAATGTTCCTATATCTCCGTGTTACAAGTGTTATATAATAATTACCCCCGTAAGAACACCGTCAAGCAGTGATGCATATTTTCTATGTCCAAGCATTTTGAGAAATGTCCCATCATGTCCCAACAATGTACTTGCCGTCAGGAACGGCCGTTAAAAAGCAAGTTGATAGGAATAACTACTTGATGTTAGGACCGTCGCAAGGAGCTTGCTGTCCTAAATCCGACTATAGTAATCATATTGACCGGAAGATAATTTTGTGTGGAAACATGTAGGGATGTTTACGGGTATGGTTAGATGAAGTGCAAGCAATGCCATGACGACGAGGAAATAACTTTATGGCAAATACATTGAATATTGGTACGTGGAGAAGAATACCCACAGCAAGCTCATGCAATTTTGCGAATTGCCAATTTCCACAACAAAAGTTGTCTTGATGAATTGACCGCATGTATCCACAATGATGTAATTTTCAATTATCCAATTTTACTAATTAACTTTGCTTATATTATTGCGTGAGAGTATTTCCATCTATTAAATGATATTTAACAGAATACTCGCTTTCACAAAACTCAAGAATAGTTTCATATTATATTTCTTTGTCGATCACAATTTCCATACGTTTCACTTCATTACTTCCTTCTTATCGTTCGATGAATTCAAGCAACAAGTGTTGCTTCAGAGCTTGTTGGCAATACAATTACATTTATGACGCAGTACTTCGCAACGATCAAAAAATTATTACATACTCGTTGCTTTGCAACAAAGTAGATCGTGTTACGTTACACAATATCCAAATAAGGAATATTATGCGACCAATTTATGACTCGACTAAATTTCCTTTTCGGGCGTTTGTGTAACGTTATGCTATTGATCGGTTTATTTATACAGGTAATCTAAGCGTCACCGTTATACAAGGATTTTTTTTATTATAGAAATACACACACACTCCACTCATACACATTCGCAAAGCAAATAAAAACGTTTTAGCTAAAGGCTTCAAAAGAAAAAAAGTTATTATATTCTAAAGATGGCCGAGGTCGTCAAATCTTCTTTGTTAAAATTTCAGCAATCACATAATTGGTTTCATCTGTAGTTAGATTTAAGACGTATGATGGGGGAACAGATCTAATCCGCGCTATTTTTTCTTTACTATAGACCTTTCAGGCTTTTTCCATTCTTTCACAAAGCATCATCGGTAAATTTTACTCGAGCTTGGACTTATTGAAACTTGAATATTCCGCAATCATTACACATTTTGCATCATCATCATTACTATTATTATTTTGTAAAATAATAAAAAATCTTGGAATACATTACTTTTAATTACGCAACAAGTTAATACTAAATTATGTTTTTTAATACAGATCGATAATTATATAGCAGTAATATAAAATAATATAATTTTTTTTCCAAAGACTCCTAGCATTTATTATATTTCAGTAGAATTCTTATAAGTAGACATTTTGTTGTTACGATTACTCCACCAGCCTGCGATTAAATTAATTCTTGTAAATAGATGATCGTGGTAAAAATGTGCAACATTAAGATTCATTTTTAATTGAGAATCGGATGGCCAGTGAGGACTTATCTTCACATGCAATATGAACTATCCAAGTTTCATTCGCAGAGAGTAGTCTCGCATAATCAAGAGCCCGTTGATAGTGTTCATCAAGTTCAATAGTAACTGCTGTCGCAAAAAGTTCGAGAACGATTTTTTCGCCAAAAGGCGTATCAATAACTATATCACTATATCTATGTTTTTTATCGGATATAAGGTGCCACTGGCCAGTGACTTTAAATTTTGCTACGCTAAGCCAATTTCGTAAGATTCGACATAGCTCTGCGTTATAAACGCTTTCTCTAGAAACATATTTGATTTCGTTACCATTGACCAGCACTTTAGCAGTCTTGAATGAACGGAAGCGCGCAAAACTAATGATATCCTTGTCAAATGGTTTGACAGCAAACTTTAAGGCAATTAAAGTGTCCAGGTCTTGAGAATCTTTAAAGAAAGGGATCTCTTCCCTTGGACGAGATGGAAATACATTAGGGATTACACGATGAAGGATCAACCAGCGAACCAACGGAGAAGGAAGTTTGAATGCTCCGGCCTCTTCACCAGGTACCAGAACCCCTTCAGAAGCAAGGTATTCTGCACTATTTATGTCAGTGGTGACATTTACTTCATGTCCAAAATCTACTAGAAAATGATCCCGAAAAAAATTCAACGCAACCTTAGATTTGGGTTTCTGGAAAGCTGATACCAAATTTCGGAATGTTTGATAATCAACAATCGCATCCATTAAGAAACTGACTTTGTAACATTCCCAAATTTCACGGCTTAAGAGTCGTTTGTTTAGCTTTCTGAGCAGATTGTCTTCAATTGCACGCCCACAAAGACAAACAAGGCCCGGATGCCTATAATATAATTAGTAAATCAGAGTTACTAGTCGGTAAAAAGTTATTAGTTTATATTTTGTCTGGCCATTTTCACATACCCATTTGTTTGTTCAAAGATGTCCTCGATAACTCCCTGTTCAAAATTCAACTTATTGTCTCCTTCAAACTCACTAAACAACGCTCGTACTTGTTCCATGTTAAAATTGGGATTACGGATCGAGTCCTTAATATTGAAGGGTGAAGTTAAATTTGTAGTTGAGTCAAGATGCAGGATGCTGAATGTACCAATTACGATGATGGCTTGAATAACATAAGATTCAATAGTATTCCTGATGTCGCGAAGAACTGACAGGAAATTGGAGCGATGATCATCATCCATTTTGTAGCATTTTTCCAGCCTGCTACGCTAAAATAACGAAGGAAACCTTCAGCACGATTTATATCCGCACAGGATTCCAAGTATTTATTGGAACGTTTATAAATAGAGAGATTTGTGCCGAATGAATTCCAGAAGCCTTCGCCATAATCGGTAATTTGCCCAAACGACAAACTCAAAAACCACGAAAAGATAGAGGATGGTAAATTAGAAAGTGTATAAAGCGGTTATATAGCAATAAGAACAGAACTTACTAGTTACACAAATAATTATTATTTTCCAATTCTGATATTGTTCTCATCACACGCGTAGACTTTCCAGATGCCCGTGTTCCATATAAAATTATGAAAGAACGCTCTTCGATTTTCTTAAATAGTGATGCTTGTTCTTGTTGTTTTCCTTCCACTGGATCCATAAAATAGTGAGAAGACCAGTCAGTTTCCCGTAATGTGCTGTTGACCTTCCATGTCTTCTTCACTGATTAAACAAAATATTTGAAAATTAGACAATAAAAGACTAAGCAATCAAAGGCCATTTTGTACATTCTTACCTTCTTCCAAAGCTTTTCTTTTTTACCGAGCTCTATTGGTTGGAAATGAAATGATATGATATGAAACACAACTATCAAAATTTAAGCCAAGACGCGTTCACTTTCACTTACCAGCAACGGGTTGTTCTGCGATAACACGAATGTGTTTTTTGGACGGGTTTTACGATAAGAAAGAAAAGCACAAGAATAAGTAAGTATTCGGTATTGTTGGCTGGTGTGACCAAGAATGAAATTTACCTCCTTTAATTTGTTTAATCAACCTTTCAAGTTTTTTGGCAGGAGCACCCGGTATTCCCCATCTTTCAAAATCTACAGCATTAAAATCAAGAAAGGTATCACCCTTAACTCTCTGATTATATATTATATTGATATCACCGTCCTCAAGGTCCAATTCGGCTCTCCTTCTTTGCAAAAATCCTTTAACCTCATCTCGACTTAATCCATAAATTTCCTCAACTGTTAATATCATATCAGATTTTTATTTGATCTAACCTAGTCCTCTTAGTTGAGATAACTCAATTAACCTGACCTGAACTGACTTGTTCAAAACTCTAATTTGTTTATATCATATACTTGATTATTATTATAAATTCACTACTGCTCCAAATGATCCTTTCTTCTTACTTTATTCTTTTAGCTGATCGATATAATTTATGAAGGGATTTTAGCTAGTTTATCAATAGGTCAATAGAAGTCTAATAATTTAAAGCTAAGGACTTATATAATTCTAAAAGCAGATTATAAATCTTTTTCTTACTATGAAAGATTCATCATAGTCTAAATCATTCTTTATGTTAATAGTTTTCAAAACCACTTTCATTTCAACCTAAATATAAAAAGCAGAAAAAAAAATCAGCTAAAATTTAAAATATTTAAATATAAATTTAAAATACTCTGGCTCTTTTTATATCAGCCTCTTCTATTACTGAATTATCGTCATTTTCAGAATTGTTTTATAATAATTTCAATTTATTATCAATATAATAAACTGATTTTTTCTCTTTGATTTTAATGAAGATTTTCTGATTTTTTTTATTTTGCAAGTAGATCATTATTAGACTATCTTAATAATTTAGATAGCTGTATTCTCTCAAATTAGTCAAGTTTTAAATATTAAAAAGAAAAATTAATTATTGTAAATATTAAAATATATAAGACCTTTGCAATAGGAAAGGGTGAAATAGCTAAAAAAAATAAAAATTGAGTTAATGCTAAATCTGAACATATTTTAACCTAAAAATCATATTTGACATATAAAATAAAATTGATTTTTTCTAACTGTTTCCTCCCTTTCTATTGTAAAGATCTCATATTAATATATAAATTTTTACCTTTCCTATAAATCTTCATTTTCTTTGCTAAATTCCTTATTGATTTTAGCAAAAATCAGTTTTTCTTTAAGAGATCAAAATTTTATTGCTACAATTTTTTGATTCTCTTACTAAATTTGATAATTTTTTTCTAAGTTTTTGATTTTTTATATAGAAATAAAAAAAAATATATTATTAATTATAAAATAATGAATAGAAAAAAATTAAAAATAATATACCTAATTCTAAATCGTTAAAATTATTAAAAATCTTAACTTCAGTTATAACTAAAGTATTTACTATTAATTATCATTAAAATTTAAATAAAAGCAGAATTTTCTATATCATTTTTATATTGCTTTTATATTTACTTCTATAATTTGAAAAGTTATTTAATATTAATATAATAATAGTATATTATGATTAACTTATGCTTTAAAAAATTTGGCTTATCTTTAAATAATTTTTACATAAACATATTATCTTTTTTCTATATAGAAAAATAAAAAAATTAGGTTATCATTTAAAAAATTGATTAGTTGATTAACTTGTATTTCAGCTTTTTTTTAGTTGATTTTAATTTTTAGATATATTTTTATGATTTAAATTGTAATTATATTTCTATTATAAAAAGTAAAAAATCAGTTTATCATTTAAAATTGGCTAGTTAATTTATAAAATATACTTACATTTTGATTTTTTTATCAGCTAATTTTGTTATTTAACATATTTTTAATATTGATGATAATTGTATTTCTATTATAAAAAAGTAAAAAAAATCAGTTTATCATTTAAAATTGGCTAGCTGATTTATAAAATATAACTTATCAGTTAATTTTTTATCAGTTAATTTTGTTATTTAACATATTTTTAATATTGATAATAATTGTATTTCTATTATAAAAAAAAATCAGTTTATTATTTGAAAAACTGAACTAATTGATTAATAAAATTCAACTTATATTCTTCTTCTTTATTGACTGATTTTGATTTTTAGAAGTGTTTTTATGATTTAGATTATGGTTGTATTTTTATTATAGAAAAATGAAAAAATTAGTTTATTATTTGAAAAACTGGCTAATTAATAAAATTTAATTTATATTATTTTTATACTTATGATGATTTTTTTGTTAGCATTTTAGTAAAAAAAAAGAAAATTTGATTATAAAGATAAAATTTGATTTTAAAAAAATAAAGCTTAAAATTGAAAGGGAGGAAACAGTTAGAAAAAATCAATTTTATTTTATATGTCAAATATGATTTTT